TAGTGTTCCTTTTGTTTTCGTTCAGTTAGTGTCGAGTGCCTAACAAAAATCTCGGAGATTACAAATACTCTCAAAGACAACGTATGTAAATATAAGGAGAATTTGCATTTTTTGGCATAATACTTTCATTTCCAATATATCATCAATTTTTTGTATGTAAATATGTAAATTACTTGCATCAATATTTAATGTTAATATAATTCTGTATTAGGATTAGTTATTGGTATTTATATTCTTAGATTTTTTTTAAAATTTATAATATGGTTTAAATTATTTAATTAATACGTAGTAGTTAATAGATAACTTTAATCGATTAGTCAACTATTTGCATTTATATTTCTATGATTTTTTATATATCAAATATACTCATAGAAATAAAGAGAAGTATAGGGGTGAGCAAGTACCGAACCGATACCGAAATTTCCCGAAAAAACCGAGAATACCAAACCGAAAAATACCGAACTGAAAAAGTACCGAGAAGAAACCGAACCGTACCGAACCGAATGGTCGGTACGGTATTTGGGAACGGTACGAGGTGACGTCCCATACCGAAAATCCCGAACCGAACATATATGCTAAAATATTATAAAAAATAATACCCCGGAGTAATATTTTTCATATTCCTTCACTAAATAATACAGTAATTTTTTTAAAAAAATTTGGTTCAAGTTTTATTATTGTAAGTTATACTTTTATTTGAGTTTTAGTTTTTGTGTATGAATATAAAAGTATTCACAAAGATTCGAAAAACCCTTTGTTGTTGTTCATTTTTTTAGTTTGTGAAATATAAACTAAGTTTTGATACGCATATCTTGCATTTAAATATTCATTTTTTTAATTTTTAATGTTTTTAAATTTAAATTTACTTTTAATTTTCAAAAATAAAGGGACATTGTTAAATTTTAGGGTGTAAAGTATTTATGTATATTCATCCCGATTTGTACCGAAACCGATACCGAACCATCCCGAACCATACCGAACCGATATTTCGGGATCGGGATCGGTACGGAGTAAAATCCCATACCGAACCGAAATATTTGGTACGGTATCGGTACGGGCTAAATACCGTACCATACCGTACCATGCTCACCCCTAGAGAAGTACATAAGAAAGTTCGGTTTATTCGCTTCGGTTTAGTTTTCCAAAGTGAAAACGAAAACCAAACAATAACGGTTTGATTCGGTTTTTTTACACTCACTTTTGGTTTTTTCGGTTCGATTTTTCTCTAGCTCGTTTTAATTGGTTTCGGTTTAGTTTACGGTTTTTCGATTTTTCCAATGCAACCCTAGTGGACCTTAAGTCCACCATAGAATTTGTTTTGTTCTTGATAACTCCAACTTGTTTAAGGGAGATATTAAATGCGCAACTCATTTGATTATATTCACTTCATTTAATATATATTTTTCCCAAAAAAAATATATTTTATGTAAAATGAAGTAAATTTTTAAAATGTTTTTATTTAAAAATTGTTATAAAAATTAAAAATAAAATTTATATATTTTTAAATCTATGTCAAAAGTTTTATAAAACAAAAGATTTCAGGAATATCTTATTAGTGTAGAACTTAAAATTTCTTTGCACGACAAGTCTTATTACATCCTTTTTGTGTTGAAATGCTATGTAATACTCCATATTTACTTTAATTGATGACTAAAATTCATCTCAAACACTCCATATTTACTCCATATTGAACATAGAAAATCAAACACGACTAGTACTTTAAAACAACTTAATTAATTTATTTATTACTCCGTAATAGAAATCACCAAAAAAAAGGATAAAAATAGTTAGGGCTATTTCATAGCGATAATTAGGGGTTTAAACATATACTTGGTCCGTCCCTGAGTATTTGTACACTTTTGACTTTTGGAACTGTTCATCTAAGTACTTTGACTCATAAAATTCTCTCAATGTGTAAGCCTAAAAATAGTCATGTGTGATCTTGTTTGATTCGTCTTAACATATAGATTATTAATATATAATTTTTATAATTTTTTAATATACAAATTACAAGATAAAATGGATTAAAGAAATGCATTGGATGGTGTGCAAAAATGAAAGTGGACAAACACTCAGGGACGGAAGGAGTATTAATTAGATTGGATGTGCCATTTTATTACCACATCCATATCCATTTATTTTTATCGGATATCGAATTCGGATACGAATCTTGACAGATACTAAAAATCAAAATCGTATCCGCATCTGTCGGATATATCCCTATCCGTTTCTATTTTTTAAAGTTAAATTAAACAATTTTTTAATTTCTAATTAAATTCATGTCAAAATATTATTCATTCAATTGTAATTTGTTACACAGTAATTTTTTTCTTATTTGTTTTTATAATAACATTCTACGATAACTCCATATGGTAAAAAGATATACACAATACACTTACACACAAACTCTTTCCTTTTTCTATTAAAAACCCACTTTTATCCCTACTAATTATTACCATACCTATCACATCATACTTTTTTAACTAATGATCTATCCATTACATTCTACTTTTACCTATCACATTAAGAGTATTTTTAGAAAGTCAACAACAAAATATTACTCTCTTAAATTCTCAAAAAGTCAATAAGGGAAGAACAAAATATAAAAATGTCTTATACTTTGAGATGTCAATAGAAAAAATAAATATAATAATAAAAAATTAGGAAAAATTATATATAACGGATCAGATATACAGATAAATGCTTACCTAAATGGATGTCTATGCGGAATGGATTATAAACAGATCAGATGTATGATTGCCAAATCCGTATCCATTTGCCATTCGGATATCCTTAATCGAAAACGGATAATAACCATTTTTAACGGATGCAGTTTTAGTCTTTCTTATGTTTTAGCCGGATATCCGTAATTATGTTTTGGTCTTTCTCTCATTTAATTTTTTATTCCATTTTTAATTAATTACATGTATTTTATAGTTATTTATTTATTTATTATTCATTTATTTTATTCAATTTAAATATTTTTTAGAATTTATTTATTTTTGAAATATACTACGTATTAGTGTACATATGCGCAATTGAACCACTAATCTTTGATGTTTATTTCGTTATCAATTAATTAAGTAGTTATAAATTATAATTATACGATTTTTTTCTAAACAAGCAATGGAAAATGTGAGGGTAAAATAATATTTTTTTTAAATATCATTTTCTCTTAAAAATTAAATTACTGAAAAATACTTTTCTCAAAACAAACGGATCCTAAGTAACATGTAATGCTCAAAACATACCGAGTATGTGAAAGGTCCGCACATGTAATGCTCTCTACAGACATGGAAGGATTACACAACACACACCTTCATGTAAAACAAAACTGCAAATTCTAGATTTTATTTGGAATTTGACTATTGAAGGCGATTTCGATTCGATCTTTTCATGTTTTAAATTTAATATGAGCCCGGTGTTTCATAACTGAAAACTCGAGTTTGGTAACTAAATTTTACGGAGTAAAATTTAGAAATTAAAATGAGTAATTAGGGGTGGGTTCGGTTTTGACAGTTCGGTTTTTATCCAAAACCAAAGACAAAACGGAAGGTAAGTTGGCGGTTCGGTTCGGTTTTGCATAAAAAATATGTAAATCGTTGGTTATTTGGTTCGGTTTATGCGGTTTTTATCTTGTTTTTTTTTTGTTTTTTCGGTTTATAAAAGTAAATATTTATAAACATTAAAAATTGTATAAATACTAACTCGACGAAGCAATAACAATACGTAAGTTTGAGTTTGGTTATTTTGCTTGATTTTTACACACAAAAAAAGCCGAGCGGAAGGTTAGTGTTCTCATTGGTTCAATTTTATATACAAAATATGTGTCAAGTGCCTAACAAACATCTTGAAGATTCTTAATAATCTTAAAGATATCGTATGTAAAATCAATTGCAGAGAATTTAGTTTTTTTATATAATACTTTCATTTTCATTATAACATCAAAGTTTTTTTTATTTAAATATGTTAACTACTCACTTTAATTTTTAATGTTATATAATTTTATATTAGGATTAGTTATTGGTGTTTATGTTCTTAGATTTTTTAAAGTTTATAATATGGTTAAAATACTTAATTAATAGTTAAGAAAAAAACTTTAATTGACTAGTATTTTATTTGCATTTTTGTTTATATGATTTTTATACATATCACATATACTCATATAAATAAAATGAAACATATAAATAAGTTCGGTTTATTCGGCTCGGTTCTGTTTTTCAAAGTAAAAACCAAAACGGAACCAATCAATAACGGTTTGGTTCGGTTTTTTTACATTCGGTTTCGGTTTTTTTAGTTCAGTTTTTTTTCTAGCTCGTTTCGATCGATTTCGGTTCGGTTTTTGGTTTTCGGTTTTTCCGACTCAGCCCTATGAGTAATGTTAGAATCACAAACAATTTGCACACAAACTATACAAACATGTCATTTGTGCGTGACTCTTTACAATTTTTATTTTTAATTACTTAGCATCAATTTATTCGACTGGGAAAATAAACAAATGATAAGTTTATCTAGTTTGTAATTTTGTATTCAAATCGTTTGTAATTCTAGCATGAAATTTCACTTCATTTTGAGTAAAATGTAAAAAAAATTTAGATGGAGAGAGAATAAATTTTTTAAATTAAAAAAAGTCCTTGTTCTCGATATTTATTATGTTCATGGACACAATTATTAGTAAAGATCTTTGATTTTAATTTGGAGCATGGAGGTGTGAACTCATATCGAGTCCACCGCGAGTCTACTAGAGCCCACTTCTTTTTTTTTCTGCCCGCAATCAACGGCTCCCGCCAACAAATGTGACAAAAGAAAAAGGCGTGCCGATTCGGAACCTCTCAAATGTAGACAGGGCAAAAAAAAAAAAGAAGAGACGAGCTGACTTTTCTACTCCGTTTCTAGATATGAGCAAAAGCGCCGTTGATTAGCAATTAAATTTGGAAATTTTTGCTTTACCAAATTACCAATACCGTTAAGAATACTATGGATCTGACTCACATAGGCAACTCAACTAGTTTCAAAAATGCAATTCGAAAGAAGAAACCAAGAGTCAAGTCTTACCCATTGAAGTGTTGGAGCAACCTCTCGAAAAATGAGGGGCCTCCTTGTGCACAGTGAACACTGGTCCCAACTTCTATTTTCGGTTGAGTACATTCTCTCATATTCCCATCATGTAGGGAGTGAGTGGTGCCTGGGTGAGCAATTTTACCTTTTTGGAGCAAGAATTCTATCGGTCTGATTATTTTTGTAATCAATCCAAATTAGTCTGGTTTTTGCATTGTTTCTGTTAGTTCCTATGTGTTGTTTATGCTATACCCTTTGATGACATCATTTTTTGACAAATCATTTTCTGTATTATGTCCTACTAGGTTAGCCGTTTTGAAGATTAGAGCTGCAGCATCATGTCAGTCATCACCTATCCGCACTAGTCCATGTTAGTAATGCATGTCCCTATGGAATTAGAAGTCTGAGCATGTGGGAGTCCATCTACCAAGTAACATGCACAAACAGAAAATCACTTCTACAGAATTCATGGGTTGCGAACTCCTCTTAACAGTAGAACTTGTAGCTACACGATACAGATCAAGGACTCCAGTTTTACTCCACTAGGGTTCTGCGATGTGCATCTATATAACATGCGAGATGTCCGCCAGATGCGGGTGACACACATCATACAAATATACTATTATTGAGAAGTGTGTGAGACAGCAGACAAAAGATGAAATTGCAGAATCGAGGTTAAGATCGTGATCTTGATGATAAGGAGATTATCGAATAATCTCCTTTGAAGCCATTCAGTTGGTGCAATCAGAAAGCTGGGGAAAGGTCGAAACACATCCTTCGTGCAGAGCAAGGAGAAGGTGTAATAGGCTTGGTAGTGACACAAACCGAGTTTGTTGCCTGATCACGTAAGTAGAAAAGTCAATTCATTATAAGGATCTGTTGAAGATTGATTGTGTAATTCTTGCATTGATCTACTGAAAGGCTATTACACGGATGTTGGTTTCGCAGACGTAGGAGATTCAGTTCCGAACTGCGTAAACAAATCACTGTGTCTTTGCTTTGTTTCTTATTGTGTGTGTGTGCTGCTGTTGGAAAAGGTCGGTGTTGTAGCATCCTGTGCCTTTTTACCTTTAAGCTACAACACAATTTCCAACTACATTTCAACTGTGGTATTTGTGATTTAATTTATATTGTTTAAATTACTACGTTGTGCTTGTGGAAATTCCAGTTTCTAGTCCTACCGTAAACTTTCTTATTTAAAGTTTACAGAATTTAAAAAGAGTATTGAAAAATAAATATTTTATGTTCTGTAATTAGAATTTGTTTAAAAAAAAGAGATAAACTGATGAACCACCCTTTTTTGTTTAAAAAAAGAAATTGTGTAGTTATTTTTCGATGAATGAAAACAAAATGAGAGCTTTTATGTACATGGAAAATTAATTTTGCTCAAGAATACTAAACGAACTCCCAACTTGAGAGTTAAGATTGCACTAATTATGCTCCAAATAAGATTGGACAAGATTCTAGTTCGAAACCGACACCGAAATGGTACCAAATTGAGTACGAACGGTGGACGTGAATTTTTCACAATATTTTTTAGTAATTAATAATGATTAACACTATAAATACTTTTTAACTTCTATTATATTTTCAATGTTTACTCTTACTTAAGTCTTCTTAACTAGAACCTTGTCCTCTTATTAAATTTTATTACGTAAATTTCCATTGATAATCAAATTTAAGACGGGAGAGTAAAAGACATAAAAGAAAGGTGCAAAAATGGTTTGAGACAAGAGTATTTGTTACTCTATTATTACTCCGTCTTTCTCGAATATTTTTTTTTACAAAAGGAGTATTACACTATAATTAGTTACACCCATAATGGTGTGTCGTGCGTGAATCGTGACAATGAGTATTATATTCGGTCCTATTATCATCCAACCCGGCCGATTTAATCAAACGCGGCCGATGGGTAGCTGGTGTGCATAAATTAACAGTAAAAAGGCACACATTTGGTATTAGGTAAAGTGATAATATAGGACCCTTTATTAATTATTGGAAGTTAATGCATAAATGTTTTAAATTTTTTTTAGGGTGGGTTACTTGTTCAACCATCGAATCAACCGTAGTTGGACATGTGATGTTTTAAATAACATTCTATCCGTTCCAGAGTATTCGTTTAGTTTTGACTTTTGTAACTGTTTATCTAAGTACTTTGACTCAACAAATTCTCTCAATGTGTAAACCTAAATATAGTCATGTGTAATCTTGTTTGATTTATCTTAACATATAGATTATTAATATATAATTTCTATAATTTTTTAATATACAAATTACAAGATAAAATTGATTAAAGAAGTGTATTGGATGGTTTGTAAAAATGAAAGTGGACAAATACTCTGGGACGAAGGTAGTAATTAATAAAAACACCAAGGTTCCCATGACATTGGGTTCCAATGTCATGGGATGACCCGAAGGCGCTTCGGTGCCCCGTTACTAAAATTGACAGTTCCTACCCCCCTAACCATCCCACCCGCCCTGACCCGATCACACCCCCTACCCCCGTCAATTGCCCCCACAAGTTGATTTTGACTTTGGAGTCAAAATTTGACTCCAAAGTCAAAATCCACTTGTGGGGGCAATTGACGGGGGTAGGGGGTGTGTTCGGGTCGGGGGCGGGGTGGGGGGTGGGATTCACCGGGGGGGGGGGGTTGGGGGGTAGGAACTGTCAATTTTACGAACGGGGCAACGGAGCGTCCCCGGGTCATCCATTGACATTGGAACCCAATGTCATGGGAACCCCACCCTTAATAAAAAAACTAAATACAAGGCATAAAAATGATGTTTAAAAATACACAACGAATCTTTTCACCTTGGTTTTCAAGGTCATATTATGACATGCAACTTCTACGGTGTTCCGTTGGTAAAATTGATGGTTCTTATTCATCCTAACCCCTAAACCCCCTGCACTCAATCCCACTCTTGCACCTCACTCTAGATCGCAAATTTGGCACTACCAGATCGGCGATATAGGGTGGGGGGGGGGGGGGGGGNTGAGGTGCAGGGGGGACAGGAGAGATCTAGGAGAAGCAGGAACAAGTGAATGTTTCTATATTGTAATTTGGGTGCATACTATTTTTGTGGACCTACACATAAAAAATAATTTTTTAAAATAAATGTTTATTTAAGTAGTAAAAAAATATTTATTTTGCTCATATGTAGGTCTGTCAATTTTACCAACAGATCACAGTAGGTGTCCCAAAATACCAAGGCCATTTAAGGTCACCCCAGGCCAAAGTCAAAAGATCATTGCTGTTGAAAATATATTTACTATTTTCTTTTGTTAGTTTCAAATTTTATCTATGGAAATGCATTCTTTTTTTACTGTATTTAAAAAATTTAACGCACTTAAAACAATGAATTTAAAGCACAACACATAGGGTGATAGAGAGTATATGATCAAGAAATATTTGCACTAAAGATAAGATCATACAAACATAACACCATACTATCCTAACTAAAAATTATAAAAGCTAAAAAAAGCAAAAAATGATGTCATTATGAAATGGGTTACACACATTTTGTTAATGAGTTTTTCTACTCCGTAGAATAATACAAGTATAATCGTAGACATATGAGCATTGTACAACTATTTGTCGTCACAGATTTATCTGTTGATTAATAAGAATTGAATCCCTAATTAAATAAAAATTTTGTGCTCAATAATTAAACACAAACTAGCGTTCACTATGTGCATAATTATTACCCATTAAATAAAATTAAATCATAAGAAACATTTCTAATTTCTTAACAAAAAGAAAAAAAGAAGTTTGACTTTTCTTGGTATAAAAAATTCGGGCACCGACGGAAAACGTAGATCTGAGAGAAATAGGGAGAAAAACATGTGAAAATGTTAGAGCGAAGATTAGTTGTCCTGGGGGCACATTGGACGTACAATAAATATAGAAAGCAAAACCACATGAATCGAATTTCAAAATGAATGAACCATAGGTTCATAAATAATTCGGAGGAATGAAACCACACAACTTGTACTAAAAAAATAAAATAATAAACATAACAAAAAACACCCATATACTTGGTTTAAAGTTACTAAAGTAATAGGGGACGCGAAAATAGTGGCACTATTTGGATATAAAATACTCCGTATTACACAGCCAGACATAGATAATAAATGTGTTCGCGTGCAATGTATTTAAAATACTCTGTAAATAATTTGTAGCATTATTACTTAATATTTTTTTAAAATTACACTAATGCCCCCACCAAAATGAGCAGATGCCCCCATTAACTTTAATTTTCCCAATCTAAAAAAAAGACTAAAATATTTTAATAGTGAAAAAGTTTAATGTGATAGATAAGTTAAAAATGAGTATGGGTAATAATGATTTTTAATAGAAATGAGATTATTTTTTGGGACCGAGAAAAAAAAAAAGAAAAAATTTTTGTAAGAGAGAGGAAATATGTTTTACCCGAGTATTACTATTTGATGTGATCTCTTTTATATAAACACTTATTTTATTAGCACTTATATGTGCCTTGCACGAAAATATTAACTATTTGAAATACATATATATATGGTATGTTTAGGAACATGGATTTGGATTTTAAATCCAGATTTGGCTTAAATTCCATGTTTGGGAAACTTAAGCATTTTGAATTTGGATTTGAATCAAATTCTTTACATTCATAACTAAGCTTAATTTGAAATTCGTGCACCTCCCCTTGTCATTTGAAATTCAGGATTTCAAATTTTGGAATTGAAATCTATGAATTGAAATGAAATGCTAGTTGCCAAACACTACCATAAATTATTTTATGGCATGTTTGAGAACATGAATTTGGATTTCGAATCCGAATTTGACTCAAATTCCATGTTTGGGAAATTCAAAAATTTTGACTTTAGATTTGAGTCAAATTCCTCTCATTCATAACAAAGCTTAATTTTAAATTGATGCACCTCCTCTTGTCATTTGAAATTCAAGATTTCAAATCTTGAAATTGAAATGCATGATTTGAAATGGAATGCTAGTTGCCAAACATTACCTTAAAGAACTGAGATTTGAATTAAAGAATACATAATTAATGCTAATTGTATTATAGGCATGGCCACACCTTAGGCAAGTTTATACTCAGACAACTTTCAACTAGTATCATTTAGGGTAGTTTAATCTTTTTTTATTTATATATTTCACTTATATTGAAAACATTTATTTTTGGTATTCATTTTGTTTCAGTTTTAATAAAGAAGGCATTTTAACTTTTACTACATAGTAAATCTAGCTAGGGCTCTTCCCTTTAAGCTAGAAATCCTAGGAACTAGAAGCCTGAGTCTAGGTTGAAAGTAACTATCCGGAGTATATAAATGTATAAGAATCGAACCGAGCACCATAGCGGTCCCGAATCATTCCATGACATGCGGTTTCAATGTCATGGAAACCCCTTCGTAAGAAATGAAAATTCTAAAATCAAATTAATTTGAGGATGTAGTTGAACAGGGTGGGAGTGTGTTCACGTCGAAGTGGAGGTGTGTTCAGATCAAGGCGGGGTGAGGAGATTTAACAGGGGTTAGGGGATAGGTTCCAATGTCATGGGAATCCTCCCCCATTTCTTATTCACAGGGATAGAATACATATATGGATTGAGCTATTTGTATACCAAAATTTGTACTCTATGTTGTACACAAAAGCATGCACCGATATTTTGTGCTAGTGTGATGATTTACATTGACAAAAAATGTCAGTGCAAATTTTTTTAATTGAACCAACATTTTCTGCCAGTGTGAACCGTTAAAATGTCGGTACATTTCTTTGGGGTACAATTTATGGTACACTTTTGGTGTACCCCTAGCATGACTGTTAAAAATATAAACACTCACCTTAACTTCATTTTTTATAAAAAATACATATAATTAAAATAAAAATACTAACAATGACACTTTTTATTAAAAATAACATCGATATAAAAATTAAATACACCGAAATAAAATTAAAATTTAAAAAAATAAAACAAAAATTAATGCTAGAGTTAAGTATTGTTGCGCCTCTAAATTTCTTTGATCAAATTATCTTGGAGGATAGCATGGTTTCGTTCATCACGCATACTTGCACGTCGATTTGCAAAATCTTGTAAATCATGAGGTGGTCCTTGAGTCACTAGGCCATGGATGATGAATGCCCGGGAAGTGGATGCGACCCCCTCATCTATAAAATGTGTGGCGTTGGCTCTTTCGTCTTCGACTATCATGTTATGCAGTATAATACATGCAAGCATGATGTCCAAGATGAACGATCTGTTGGAAATTTAAGTAAATTGGACATTTTTGGACATAAATTTAATAGGGTCCACAAAATTATTTTTCCAAAATAATTATGGACGATTAATCTCGTAAGTAAGATGAACGTCTTGACATATGACACGTCATAAACGGTGCTCGGGTGAATGAGAAATTAATTCTCAAAGTTGAATACTAAGGTAGAGTAAATGCCTTTGTCCCACACCGGTTTCTAAACCTTTCGTATTCTCATATTTAAGCTTAGGCATTGAATTGAGCTTATGAAAGGAACAAGAAGAGGACTCCTCGCGCGCCCGCTGCCGCCGCCGACCGTCCGGCTCGGCACGACACGCCGCGGCAGGGCGGGGCGCTGCGCCAGCGTCTGTGGCGGGGCTAACTTTTTACGAGATGGAATTAAACACGTGTACACTTCGTTATTAACGAAGTGTATGGAGGCATGCATGCACTACACTCTATTCGTGTTCCTGCATCCGAAGACTCCAAGTTTATTTTCTTTTATTTTTGTTGTAAAATCCGAACGTTTTATAAGTTCAGATTATTTTATTTTTATTTTTCCCGCTGTAATATTCATCAAACTTAAGGTAGTAGTATGGAGTTCGGATTCGGCATCGTGGGTTCCTCCGGTAAACGGAATGAGTTCCGAAATTCCGGTGGAAACCTCTTCGCTTGCCATGGTTGTGCCGTCCTCACCACTACCCTTCGGGGCAAGTGTGGGGGCCGCGACCATGACGTCCTTTGCAATGCCGAGCTCGATCTTCGGGTCGGCCCCTCGACCCATTCCCGGGCTCGAAACCACGGGGGATCACCCCGTCGGTAATTCGAACCCGTTTCTCGGACCGACTATGGCTTCGACCTCGACGGTCAACTTAGGACCGAACGCGGGTTTCCCCACACCGGTCAATCCATTCGTTGGACCCCATTGGGCGACTAACGGGCCGTTCCTCCACACACCCAATGCGGTTGGGCCGATTACGGTGCCCGCTAGTTCGGTTCAAAGGCCACCAAAGTTCAATGGGACGAACTTCAAAATGTGGCAACAAAAGATGATGTTCTTTATGACCGTCTTGGGATTTGCTGAGTACCTGCAGCAAGATCCCCCCAGCCCAATGAGGCCAACGACCCCCTCGTGGCGATGGTAAACCAAGCATGGTACCACAACAACTATCTCGCCATCAACATTATCCTCGAGGGGTTGGGAGATTCGCTGTACCCCGTTTACGCCGGTGCAACGCTCGCTAAAGAGCTTTGGAATGGCTTGAACAAAAAGTATCAAGCTGAGGATGCCGGCACAAAGAAGTTCATCGTCGGGAAGATGCTGGACTACAAGATGGTCGACAGCAAATCTGTTGTCGCCCAGGCTGAGGAGCTTACGGTAATCTTCAACAAGTGCAATGAAGAAAAAATAGGCGTCAGCGAGGCCTTTCAAGTGGCGGCCATCATCCACAAACTTCCCCGGTCGTGGGAAGATTTCCAAGCCGACCTCAAGCTCAAAAGAACGGATCTGAATCTGGAGCAACTGCTCACGCGGTTGAGGATCCGAGAGGAAGGGCTTGCTAGAAGAAATGGAGGGGCTAAGGCGAATGTTGTAGAACATCCGTCGGGCTCTTCACATGGCGGGAAGGACAAGAAGAAAATGGGTCCTAAGGGTGGTGTTTCTAAATTTGCAGGAAAATGCTACAATTGTGGCATTACTGGGCAGCGTTCCTCCGATTGTAGGAAAAAGAAGCCACAAAAGGGAAAGAAGAAAACCACTGAAGCCATGTGTGCGGAGCTTGACAACTTGGACCTCTGCGCGGTTGTCACCGAGGTGAATCTCGTCGGGTCAAACCCGAAGGAATGGTTTGTGGACACAGGAGCCACACGCCATATTTGTTCAAATCGGAGCATGTTTCACGACTTTCAAGAGAGCTCCGGTGACAAGGTGTGGATGGGCAATTCGGCCCAATCAGAGGTTCAAGGGATTGGAAAGATCAAGCTGAAAATGACTTCCGGCAAGGAGCTCACGCTCAACGACGTGCTCTATGTCCCAGACATTCGCAAGAATTTAGTGTCGGGGTCACTGCTGATCAAACACGGCTTTCGGATGGTGTTTGAATTAGACAAGCTAATCTTATCCAAGCAAGGAATTTTTATTGGGAAGGGTTACATTTCTGATGGGCTAGTAAAGCTCAATGTAATGACTGTTCATGAAAAGATCAATAAAAATCCTGTTGCTTATGTGTGTGAGTCTTCTAGTTTATGGCACGGTAGACTAGGACATGTTAATTATGCATCTCTCCGGAAATTAATTAACATGGAACACATACCTAAGTTTAGTATTGACCTAACCCACAAGTGCGAAACTTGTGTTGAGGCTTAGTCAACTCGAAGTTCGTTTCAAACGATCGAACGGAACACTCAACCTCTAGAGTTGGTTCACACCGACTTGTGTGATTTTCGAACAACGCCTTCAAGAGGGGGTAATAAGTACTTTATTACCTTCGTCGATGATAACACGAAATATTGCTATATCTATTTACTAAAAAGTAAAGATGAAGTGTTAGACACTTTTGTTCGATATAAGAATGAAGTGGAAAATCAACTCAATCGCAAAATAAAAGCATTGAGAAGCGATAGAGGTGGTGAGTATGATGCTCCACTTAATGAGTTTTGTGCACAACATGGAATTGTGCATCAAGTAACCCCACCGTATACACCACAGTCTAACGGAGTAGCGGAGCGCAAGAATCGCACTCTAAAAGACATGATGAATGCGATGCTGCTTAGTTCTGGATTACCTCAGAACATGTGGGGGGAGGCT